ACATGGCCCTTAATATGCTTCAAGGCCAGAGTTGCAGGGGGGCTATAAGTTATGTTTCTTTATGATGGATTTTAAATGGATCCCAAGGAGGCACTTGTGAGACAATTAGGGAAGTTAAACAACAGTTTGCCAATATGGAAAATCGTGTTCAATGCATAATGGAACAAGATTTCATCTTGTTCACAAAAAAGGGCACCATTCTTACTTGTTTGTTCTTATCACGGACATTTCATGAAGAGGAAGGGCTTGACGAGGTGATTGTTCCACTGCCTTTATGGGATTGGAAAACAAAACAGCCTCTGACCTCGGATCCAGAGAAGTATGCGTATGAGAAGTAAAAATGAAAAGCAATTCAATTCAATTTTAATTCAATTTATGTATTTTTATAGCCCCGAATTAGCAACTGCAGTAGCCTTAAAGAAATCTACAAAATTGTTGATTCAGTTTTGCAGAGAAACAGTTCAAACACATAGGAACCGGTGTCCATAAATGTTCTTTAAATGTCCAAAGAGTACAACTTAAACTAAACAAAAAATTCTTATCAATATGAAGACTGCAATGTGGTGGTTCTGAAGCCTTGGGACGGTCGCGCCCGATGTGTGTGGATCCTGACGAGTAAGCGATTTTTGGGAAGATTCATGAGTTTTTAACAAAGTGCACCAGCAGCCGGCTCAGGCGCTAAGAACATTAGTGCACACGACTGACACGAACTGATTGGAGAAACGACCAGGGTCCACAATTACACCAGGCTTTCGATTTAAAGAGCAAACTCATGCAACTGAAACTTTTAATTCATTATAAGTTCGGTGGGATTCATGCGTGTTTTTCCTCACAATTTGTCCGTAAAATCCTTTTTTTCCACTTCCTTCTTCATGGCTGGTATAAAACTACCTTTGTCCATAAATAATACATTGTACTTGTCCCAGCAGAAAGAGTCTTGCACAAATAAAGAGAAGTAACAACACAACATGCTGTATTCATTTTTTATGTGTAAGAAGGGAAGGATGTCACTTTTTGACAATTTGGACTGAGAGCTCAGTGAGGGTGGGATTCTTTATCACTTTTTTGCCTGAAAAATGTTATCTAAAGATGCGACACAGGCCGTGTGCATATCCTGAGTGTGCCTTTTCTCCTGTAATTTTTCTCTTTTTTCTTTCCCCACTGAGAGATGAACAAAGGTTATCTTATCCTCTCATAAACACGGATAACTGATGCAATCCACCTTCTGGGGTTTAGCTAGAAACTGTACACACTAGTACTACGTGTGACTACTTATTTGTACGTGGTTAGCGCCAAGACCAGCTAAAATGTACAAACTTTGTAATTTCAACTAAGAATAACTCCACTTTAAACCCAGAACCTGACCTGTGACCTGTTAACTGGGGACACACAAAAATATGACATACTGGGCCTCATGTATGAAACTTGCGGACGGCCAAAACAGGGTGTAAATGAGGCGTACGCAAAATATTTACACTTTTCCGCATTAGTCAATCTGGACGTGAGTGTACGATAAGCACAGAATTTACACCAAGTCAATAGCCAAAACACGCATGAAATGCAAGATTTGGACAAAAATCAACATGTTCCCACTCTGGCAAGATTATTGGCACAACTCTCACATTACAAATATGCAATTTTACAAAGTTATGTTAGGGCTAGTTTGTGTTATTTAATAACGTGCAAGATATCAAACTCTAAAGTCTCCCACAAATGTGTGGATTGTTATATTCACCGACAATAAATGCAGAACGGCATTTGGTTCATGCGGGTCTAAGCAAAGACGCGCACCACCGCCAACGCTCTGCTACCTCCTGGTACAAGTGTGCCGTATGATCCTGGCTCGGTTCTCCACAGCAGGCACAGAACCACAGTGTGCCATTGGATGCACTGGTGGAGCAGCCCGTGGATGAGAGACCATGACCAGCACCGCCTTCGGCCAGTACAGCTCAGACAGGCTCTCATTCAACCATTTTGAAATAATTATCACATACATAATTTGAAGACAATATTATTTCTTTGTATTTTCTTTTGGATGCTTTGTTCTGGTGGTTCCTCCCCTGGGCTGCTAAATGCCGTTTTGTAACCATTTTAAGGCCGCTCAATTTTTTTTCACTTGTAGCATAAATTAATGAATTCTAACTATTAGCCCAATATATCTGCCAACTGTTTGATATAATATAGCGTATTTTTCTTCAAACATGAATAAACTCACCTCTTCAGGAGTGCGTGTTGCAGGCCCCACGCTGTCTACAGATGCTGTCATCTCTTTCCATATTTTGTTTTTTGAGCCCCTTGATGCCACTTTTGAGGATTCCAAATAGTAAGACTTTTTCCTACTTCGTTCATAATGGTCTCAATCTCCTGCTCCGTGAAGTTATTTTTCCTTAGCCGTTTACTCACTAACCAGACCCTGCGCCGTATACGTAATTATGCATATGTTTATAAGCAATGTGGGTTTTCCTTAGTTATGTGCATTAAGCCCCATAAACGCAATAGATCTTGCTCAAAACTGTCTCATCCACTGCCCTTTACTCCGCAGAGCAGAGATAGGATGCAACACGCATGTGGGAACTGGTGCATTCATTCATTCATTTATTATTTATTTATTTACTTCAACATTTCAGGAGAGATGAGTGCTGCTGTGGGTCTGGACACTAGGGAGAAACGTGTATATATAATAGAGCGTATATTCATTTTATTTTTTTTAAACGTGTATAAACTCAGATGTGCGTGGCAAAGGCTTCAAACAGTCTTCCATAGCCAACTTCCTGCTGACCTGTTGCAAAAACAGGACGTGGAACAGGCAGCTTCTGAATATTTCTAGGCGTGACTTTCATAAATACGCTGGTTTTGAGCGTGGCATTAATCAACAGCCGCAGGTGCGTCCGCTCAGATCTGTGCGTATCTCACACGTTCATAAATGCAACGTCGGATCTTGCATATCTGGAATCTACACCCAAAATGTACACCTTTTTCTGCGCAAGTTTCATAAATGAGGGCCACTGTCTCTTTCAAAGCCTGAACAAATAAATAAGACTTCAGTTAAAGCTGCACTAACTGACTTTGGGATTTTGAAGCCGCGGACTCGCTGGCCTCGCTCTTTCTGCTCCCCTCCCCGCACCCACGAAGCTATCGCCCCACACACACACAGTGTTGAGACGGAGCTAGCGTCTCCCAATATGGATAATACATGGATATGGATTTTCACGTGGATGGCGTGACCATAGAACGATAGAACCGGGAAGCGTGGAGGAACGGGACTTTCTTTTGGATGGCTGTTTCGCTGTGTAAGCAGTACCCGGTGACGAAGACGAGAAAGTTTCAGGTTAGCTCCGCCGCTTGTTGTGCTAACTCAGCTGTCTGTGCTAACGGACCTGGAGATTTCTCACGAAAGTGGGGGCTAGTGGTGCGCTGTGATTGGTCACAATCTGTGACCCGAAACACATTCTCTTCCTTGTTTCATCAAAACTCGATCGAAAATATAATGTTAGGCCAGCACAAATCTGCGCTACTTTTTCTTCAAAAGGACGTATATCCCAATGCACTACATGGACATGGATAGCATTTTTGTAATTAATACGAAAATAAAGTCAGTTAGTGCAGCTTTAAAGGTCCACAATGTCTATTGTTCCAACTGACACAATCCCTATGACTGTTTTCACCCATAACCTAGAGTGTGGAGAAAGGACAGACAGAGTCTGTTATCACTATAGTGTAAGCCTTAGGCCCTATTCATACTGAGACGCTGCGCAGACGTTTCCAGGCTATTAACAGAAATGACCTGGCTCCTAATGCAAATTTCTCAGCGTTCACATGAGGTTGAAAAATGAAGTAGTTCTAGCGCCCGGCCAGTAGTGGGCAGAGAAACTTTACAACACAACACACGACCCCCATTCCCGTGCCCAGCCCCCCTCCCGGCAGTATATTCACTTCCTGTGCCAGACCCTCAGAAAGTACCAACATCATTCTGCATTTTAACAGCAGCTGTGAACATGGGAACTGAACCTAGAGTTTCGTGTGGTCTCGTTTGGACGAACGAAGGAGTAGAATCCTCTGTCCCGCGCTGGAAGCCCATGAAGCTAGTTAGTGCGCGCGGCGCCATTGTTGTTTTTGTTTGTTCTCCGCTACTGCGCATGTCCAAATTTACGTGCGGAGAGCAGCGCGGAGGCGGAGGTCAGAGCAGAGGGGGATTTCACACCTTTTTTCCCTCGCGGGTGTGAAAGAGAGCCCCCGCTGTGCAGTGTTTCTGAGTTGTCCCACTCTGCAGGCTGGATCTGAACACTTGCGTTTTCACCCCCCTGAAACACAGCCTCCGTATGAACGGTTGGTAGCAACCGACATCCAACTATACCGTTTTACTACCACATTGTCTCCGTGTAAACTCAGCCTTAATGCTGAAGAGGCCGATTTGAACATAAGCGAGCTGGAACCAACTTCCTTATATGGGCATTTGTTCCACTGCGTTGGCTTCGTGTCTCAGCTTGCTAGTGTCACAGGGGTAAAAACAGGTTCTTCGGACCCGGATTTAAAAAGGACCACTGGATTAAAAGCGAATTAAAAGTAGTTTATTATAAAATACATTAAAAACAAGTAAATAAAAGCAATAAAAATCTAAGCTAAAAAAAGGGCTAAAACAGAGGCTAAAACAGGCTAAAATGCGTCTCCACGGCCTGGGCCGCTAGACCACGGGGCTCTCACCCGCCGCGCCTGGCTCCCGTGTCTGGCTCCCTCTCCGTGTCCTCCTCCTGCCCCCTCCCCATCTCCTTTTGTACCGTGGCACAGGTGTTCTAATTGTCACGTGGGGAGCCGGGGTGCTTCAGGTGGTGCAAATTAAAATCAATATTAAAAACACACACACGACATGCATAAAATATAAAACAAACCACATTAAAACCCACCACCCATTCTGCACCCCTTGACACTCCCCCCTGCTTTAATAATAGCAGTCCCTGCTAGTTCGTGAACACCTGTGCCTTTCCATCGCTGGGGAGAGGGGTTCACCTCCGTCGCGCCTCTCCCGGGGCCTCCGTCGCGCCTCTCCCGGAGCCTCCGTCGCGCCTCTCCCGGGGCCTCCGTTGCGCCTCTCCCGGGGCCTCCGTCGCGTCTCTCCCGGGGCCTCCGTCGCGTCTCTCCCGGGGTCTCCGTCGCGTCTCTCCCGGGGCCTCCGTTGCGTCTCTCCCGGGGCCTCCGTCGCGTCTCTCCCGGGGCCTCCGTCGCGTCTCTCCCGGGGCCTCCGTCGCGTCTCTCCCGGGGCCTCCGTCGAGTCTCAGACTCCTGCCGCCACTGCCGCTGCTGCCGGGCCCACCTGCACCAAACACACCAGAGGCCAGCCCAAACCCACGCATCCGCGACCCTAGGGCCATAGGCCTTCCACGAGCACCACTACACCACATGCCCATACAGGCCAGGCAGACTTCCATGTCTGCCCCTGCTTGTATCATGCGTCGTGGTGCTCTCTCGCCAGGTCGCGGATGTGGTGCTCCTCTGTGTGCTGGATCTGGGGTGGCCCACCCGGCTGCCAACGCGCAGTTCAGCTCGGATCCCTTGACGGCCTCAGCGACAGCACACCCATCCTTGCTCCACGGAGCCCTAGCCTCTAACCGCAACTTAAAAACAGTGGTACCGGGTCCTGCCAGACAACGCCAAAATGTCACAGGGGTAAAAAAACAGGTTCTTCGGACCCGGATTTAAAAAGGACCACTGGATTAAAAGCGAATTAAAAGTAGTTTATTATAAAATACATTAAAAACAAGTAAATAAAAGCAATAAAAATCTAAGCTAAAAAAAGGGCTAAAACAGAGGCTAAAACAGGCTAAAATGCGTCTCCACGGCCTGGGCCGCTAGACCACGGGGCTCTCACCCGCCGCGCCTGGCTCCCGTGTCTGGCTCCCTCTCCGTGTCCTCCTCCTGCCCCCTCCCCATCTCCTTTTGTACCGTGGCACAGGTGTTCTAATTGTCACGTGGGGAGCCGGGGTGCTTCAGGTGGTGCAAATTAAAATCAATATTAAAAACACACACACGACATGCATAAAATATAAAACAAACCACATTAAAACCCACCACCCATTCTGCACCCCTTGACACTAGGACAAGCGCCGAGCTGGAGTTTCTGATTGGTCAATCCTTATAGGGGCTAAGGAAAGTGATGATCTGGGCATTCGTGGACATTTGTTAGCATTTATGGACAGTGGTCCACCCGATCCCTATGGACAAATGGCTGTGTGTTTGTTATCATTGCATTTCCTGTTTTCGCACCGTTTGATTCTCTGATCTGTTCTTGGTGAATCAACAAATTTGTTAGAGCTTTACATGAAGTGATGTTAAACACTGTTGCTGTTGGGCTCAGGTGCAGGAGTGTAGAGGGAGGAGTTCAGTGTAACAGCATGATGTATTATTGTAAGTAAGTAAGTAAGTAAGTCAGTCTTCCAGTCTGAATTTTTATTTATTTATTGTTTGTTTAAACCGATGCATTATTATTATTATTATTTGGTTGGGACAGTACATGTTAATGAACACATCACTCCAGATTGTAGCCATGGGGTAATTTGCATCCATTGTCCCACTTTTGCACTCACACACTCATTCACCCTGAGCTATTGCACGTGTTTTTAGTGGTAGGGGAAACCGGAGTACCCGGAGCAAAAACCTACGCAGACACTGGGAGAACATGCAAACTCCACTCCTTCTTGCTTTGCTTTGAAGCAAGAGTGCTATCCACTCAGCCACCGTGCCGCTCTTTGCGCTTAAGCTTAATTTCAATAAAAGCCGGAGCAAGATGGAGCAGAACTTTGTCCCTGAGCACTTTGGGCTAGCATTGTCCGTCTATATACAGTCAGTGGTGCAGTGTTTAGCACTTGTGCCTCCACCTCCAGGCCTTTCTGTGCGGAGTTTGCATGTTCTCCCCGCATCTGCTCAGGTTTTCTCCAGGTGCTCCGGTTTCACCTACCACTAAAAAACATGTACAATGGTCCCCCAATAACATCCTCCCCGACCAACTCCCCCGAAAACAGATTCTGCTATTGAAACAAATTACAAAAGATGCCGAGGTCTAGGATTGTGTCACAGGAAGATGTTATTGTTGGCAAACGACACGAACAGAGATACAGTGTGGACGTGATTTTAAACCAGACACAACACGGACACTCCTCTCAGCATCTGCCGCTACACCAATAGATATGTTAGCTTCAACCTTCAAACCAAAATATCCAATGGAAAATCAATGACTTTTACAGACTGTTGTAATGATCATCACGGACAAATTAGAAGAATTAATAAATAGTATAAATGATTGGTCATTTATACCATTCAATAATTCTTCTAATTTGTCCCTGTTAATATGTGGAGACTTTAATGTTGACCTTCTAAAGGTTGAATACAATAAATAAACATCGGATTTTCACTTTATACTTTATACAGTAGAGGCTTGTGTCTCTTGATTACAAAGCCAAGCTGAATGACAATAAACAGTGCAACACTTATTGACAATAAATTCACAAATGTTTTTAAAAAGCACAAAAATAGTGGTTTAATTATTGATGATATTACTGACCATCTACCTGTATACACATTACAAAATAATCAAATACCTAAGAAGAAAGCCAATAAAGATCTAGTCTAAAAAAAAAATAAGGATATAATGTAACCATAAATGCCTTCAACCAGAGTTGGATTTGGTATTGGAATGGAGTATATACAAACGAGGTGAACACTGTTAAAATGAGTGTTAATTTAGAACTTTATATTGCCCTGAGTTTGCATGTAGAATAGTACACAGACATACTGATAAGCCGTGGATGAAAAAAAAAAATTAAAAGAATGCTTGTAAAAAGAAAAATAAATTGTACCGTGATTTTTTGGAATTGAGGCTCAAAAAAGTCTACAAAAACAGATTAACAAACTTTTCCAACAAGCAACATCAATTTCTGAACAAGGTAATTGGAAACCCGTCAGGTTCACAAGATTTTTTAATTTTAGAATTGTCTATTTGTTTTGTTTGTATGGATGGAGGAATTTATGCTGGTACTGAACACTTGAAATTCTCCTACGGGTGATCAATAAAGTATCTATCTATCTATAATGAAACCATTATTTTACATAATTTAACTTTCATTTAAATCAGGTATTTTCCCAGAGAGAAAATGGCTAAGGTTAAAGTATACATAAAGTTGATATAAAGTTGGATAGCTACAGTGATAAAAAATAAATTACTAATGGACAGTCAGTATGGGTTTTATTCAAATCGTTCTACAGGATAAAAAAAAATGACTAAAGAAATCTCAACAGCAATAGACAATCAAAAATACAATTGTGGTCTTTGTGGATTTAAAATAAATCTTTCGATACCATAAACCATTTTATACTTACATCCAAACTGCAGTCTATACTGCTACTTACAAAACAGACAACAGTATGTTCAATTGGATGAAAACAGGTCACATTACAAACATTACATGAGTACTGAATGTGGAGTGCCGCAAGGCTCTATTCTAAGACCAATATAATGTATTTTGTATATGAATCATATTTGTGAGTTTTCCAACTTAATGCAGCTTGTCCTATTTGCAGGAGATACTAACTAGAAACAATTTTTTTGTTCACGAGATAATTGTCAGGGAAATAAATCTTGAAATGGTAGAACTTAAAGTGTGGTTTGATCAAAGTAAACTATCACCAAATTTGGATACAACAATAAAGCTGGATATAGAGATCACACAACTCCTCTATTCCTAAAATTGTTATTTTTAAAGCTCTACCAGAAGATGTGCAGAGGACATGACAGGAGCAGTAATGTTTACTCAAATAGCGCATTAAAATGTTCAGGCACAAGGTGATGACAGAAACAAGACGTCTAATACCCCCAATCAACACCATCCCTTCACTCACTTACATTCATACCTAGTGTGCAAGTTTCACAAAGTAGCAGGAACAACTTTAAAACAAATGTGCATTTCTGTTGTAAAAACATGGAATTGACCAGAAAGTGAAAGCTTGTCAAAACATGTTCAGATTTATGTTAATGTACAAAACAAAATGTTATAAAGCATACCATCAGGAAGGCCCGGAGTGATTAAATAAATGTTTATATATTTATAGATAAATATAGTTAAACAGCAGATCTTGCTGCTCCTTGTATTCTACAGATGTATCCATCCATCCATTTTCTTCCTCTTAATCCATTTCTGGGTCGGGGGAGTGGCAGTCAGAGCTGCACCCAGTACACAGAGCACCAGCCCCTCACTGATCCTCCTGCAGGTGGTGAGTCCACAGGAGCTGAGATCTTTCAGTGGAGGCTTCAGGCAAAGTGGGGTTAAGTGTCTTGCCCAAGAACACAACGACAGCAGTCATCAGTGGGAGTTGTGAGGTAGATCCCATTTTCATTAATGGAATTTAGAAAAGGAAATGTAATAGGTTTTAACATAATTGTATTAAAAGTGTCCAAACAAATCCATACTACTACTTCCCAGTAAAAAAATAAGGACATAAAAACTGACGGAACTCATTGGCAATGAGTAAACGTTGAAGCTACAGGCAACACATATACGGTCCCCACCTTTACTCTTCGGAGACCCCATTAGATGCTTCGGTTTATTCCTTCTCTTTACGCAGCACTCTGAACGCCCATGACTGCGCCTAAATGTGCCGGAAGGTCAAAGAAGCATATTCTGAAGCTTACTGTACAAACGCAACAGGGCGAACAGATCCACAAACGCGCACAATTTATGATTGCCTGTGGAAACTTTGGGAATTCCACACACACACACTCAGCCACGGACACACACAAACTGGAACTTGCTCTCACGCACACACACACCCAGTTTGTGTTGGCATCAGTTTAAAGCACCAGTATTAAATTGTATTGTAGTGGCCCCTGGAATGCGGGGGCTCTTGGAGGTGACGGCCCCTCCCGTCGACGCCGCGGGGTAATTGCTTTTCCACACCGGGTTATTCATGTTTGGAGATTGGATCGTCGAACCCTGGGCGATATAAAACCACAATTGGGAAAACGGTTTGAGTTTTTTTTTCTTTTTCTCTGGCTTCGAAGTGATTGTTTCTGCTGCAGTCGTGAGAAAGAATGATGGTAAAATATTCACAGGCGTTCACATGAAAACATGAATTATTAAAATGGGTTTCCAATCAGTGACACCTTTTGGCTGCTCTATAACAACCTATGCCACCAATTATTTTCACAGATTGACCATAAATGGAAAAGTCTCTTCTAATAGGATTCCTGAGTTTGTCCCAGTTTTAATCATTTGACTGAAAGGGAAAAAAAATGTATACAAGAAACACAAAGCTTTCAAAATGTCTAGACGGAGGAAGAGCGGCGTGTGTTAATGGACGTACTGTTGAAAGGATTTGTAGCAGAAAACAAGTTTCAATTGAACAATTATAGAGATATTAACTGAGATGAGGTTGTAAAAAAGGCATCCAAATAATGGCTAGACAGTGAACACGTGGAGACCGAGCAACTTACTATACTGATCTGGCTTTTGGTTTGAACCGAGTATTCCACGGCATCTCTGGCATGGTGGTTAATCCCAGTCGAAACAGGGGTGATAAAGATACAAAAAAACCTGTGCGCTGGGATTAATAATGTCTGACAACCAGTGTGTTTGACTCTGATTGAACTGCACCTAAGTGTGGTAAAATCCGGGTCAAATTTCCTTACTCTGATGACTGTCTCTCAGTGACCCCGGCTCACTCTAATTGCTGTCTGAAATCGTGGAAATCTCTCTTTCGCGCTGCCTGGAAAGACGCAGTGCGAAAGATTCATCGCCATCTACTAAAACAAGTGTAAACGTTTATAGTTGTATCCCCCTACATCAGGGGTGTCAAAGTCAAATGGACGGAGGGCCAAATAAAAAATTTAGCTACAAGCCGAGGGCCGGACTGTTCGAATGTTCATTGAAAAATGTTTTAATGACGCATATAGTCTAGTGAACCTAATTGAACCTACTGAAAACCTAACAAATATATTCCAATATGATCAGATAAATAAAGCAATATTTTCTTATGGCTCTGTCAGTAATCTTTAATTTTCAACAGACACAAAAGACAAATTTCCTTTATATAAAAATCCCCATAACATGAACATTAAATGAAAGAAACCGGTATTCAAGGCATCATCAGTAGCCTATATTTTCTATTTTAGCAAAAGTGGGCTAAATTTACTTCAAAGAAAAAAACAATAATAGCAATTTTCTATCATCCACTCAACTGAAATATTTTTAAAATATAATTGGATTGAAATACAATAAAATAAAGTGCAAAAATCTATTAATCAAAAACAACACTTTGTTTAAGGAGAAGTAACATGCAGTGAAAACAAATATTAAACTTTAACTTTTAAACTTGAACTGAGTAAAAACTCTAAATATGTGATTGCACAGTAATGTTCACTTATTTGAGGTTGAGGGTGATACTTGGTGGTGTCCCATCTTTTCCACAAGTTCATCAATGTTCGGGGTAAGGCTCTGAGCTGAGGAAATCCTCAGAATTGAGTGGAGGTGTTCAGCAGTAAGTCGACTTCTGTGTGATGTTTTGTTCAGGTTCATCAAAGAAAACAGTTGTTCACACAGGTATGTGCTGCCAAACATAGACAACGTTTGAGCAGCCTGGATGCGCAGCTGGGGCATTGTGTCGGGGAGGAAACGGGCGAACTCCGCAGCACCCACTGCCGCATATTTTGCCCTCAGTGCATCATTGCATTGGAGGTCAATCAACTCCATTTGGAGGTTTGGTGGTGAGCTTTCCACGTCAACAGCAAATGGGTTACCGAGCAGTTCCAACCTGCTTTTTTGTGCTTCAAAGTCAGCAAATCGGCGTCGAACTTCAGCGGCAAGCATACCTATTTTATCAGCCAACTGTGCGCTCGGGAACGCACTGGTAGAGAGCTTCTCTTTCATGGTCTGGCAGCTGGGAAAGTGGCTCAAATTTTCTTTCCGCATCTGCGTCTCCCACAGAGTCAGTTTGGTTTTAAAGGCCTTCACCGTACTGTACATATCAGAGATGACATGATCCCGACCCTGCAGCTGCAAGTTCATTGCATTCAGATGACTCGTAATGTCACACAGAAAAGCCATTTCACACAGAAACATTTCGTCTCGGAGTTGTGTTGTGTCTTTCCCTTTGCTGTCCAAGAACAGACAAATCTCCTCACGAAGCTCGAAACATCTTTGAAGCACCTTTCCCTGGCTTAGCCATCGCACCTCTGTGTGATAAGGCAAATCACCATGCTCCGTTTCTAACTCCGTCAGAAATGCCTTGAACTGGCGGTGATTCAAACCTTTGGCTCTGATAAAGTTAACTGTGCGCGTGATGATGCTCATTACATGCTCCATTTTCAAGGCTTTACCGCACAACGCTTCCTGGTGTATGATACAATGATAAGTTGTCAGCTCACCTGTCGCGTTTTCCTCTTGCATCTTTTCCCGTATCTTCGCCACCAGTCCGCTCCTGTGTCCACACATCGCAGGTGCTCCGTCGGTTGTCAAACCCACGAGTTTTTCCCAAGGCAGCTCCATCTCATTTACACATCTTGACACCTCTTCATACAAATCATGCCCCGTAGTTGTGCCATGCATAGGACGTAAAGCCAAAAACTCCTCTGTCACGCTTAGGCTGGAGTCCACTCCGCGGATGAAAATTGACAACTGGGCAATGTCAGAAATGTCGGTGCTATCATCCACAGCCAAGGAATATGCAATGAAATCTTTTCCCTTTTTTACAAGCTGCTCTTTTAGATTGATGGACAACTGGTCTACTCTCTCGGCAATGGTGTTTCTGCTCAGACTCACATTTAAAAAGAGTTGCCTTTTTTCTGGGCAAACTTCGTCACAAACTTTAATCATGCAGTTTTTGATGAAATCCCCCTCCGTAAATGGCCGGGCTGATTTAGCGATCTCTTCTGCCAAAATAAAATTGGCCTTGACAGCAGCCTGGCCTTGTGATTTGGCCTTTTTGAACAGAGCCTGTCTAGATTTGAGGCCTCGTTTTAATTCCTCTGCCTTTTGTAGCCTTTGTTCCATGTCCATATTCTTGTTTTTGTCCACGTGTTTCGTTTCATAATGTCGTCTCAGATTATACTCATTCAGTACCGCCACACTTTCTCCACACAGAAGACACACAGGTTTTCCAGCTACCTCCGTGAACATATACTCCGACTCCCACCTTGTTTGAAACCCCCGGTTCTCAGTGTCCACCTTCCGTTTTGCCATTTTTGATGGGTATCTGAAAGTTAATTTTACTGTGATGCTAACGACTGCTGTGCCAATAAATATTGAAATGAAGCAGCCTACTGCTCGGTGCGTCACCGTTGCATTGTGGGAAATGTAGTATTGGTGCGTGTAAAAGATCTGCGGGCTGCCGGCTTGCTGCGGTCTGCGGGCCGGTTCTAATAATAAATCAAGATCATCCCAGGGGCCGTAAAAAACCTTCTCGCGGGCCGGATGTGGCCCGCGGGCCTTGACTCTGACATATGTGCCCTACATGATTATGTAGAAGTTGGATTGACACTAACAAAGTCTTGAGATTGACGGTCAAATCAACACACACGGTCCTCTCAACTGATGTTGTGGGATACAGGGGTCACAACATCAGTATGCATTGGTGCGTTGGAGGCATGCAGTCTGTTTGAGGTGGTCTTGTCAGGCAGCAGTCTTTGTAGGGTTCGAGTCGGGCTGAATTTGTCGGTCGGGCATTATTTTACAGGCTCGATTACAGCTCCCTGCAAAGACAATAGTAAATGTTCATGTTGAGAGCATGATTTTGATGCCGCCCAATAATGCATAATTTAACTTAACCATTCATTCATTCATTCATTTTCTACCCTTTATTTGTCCATTGCTGGGTCGGGGGTGACAATGCTTATAGCACCAGTCCCTACAATGTTACCACCGCATTTACCGTCAGGAGCAGCCGCTGGGGTTGTGTTTGTCTAATTGTGAGGATTTACTGTACAAACTAACCCTAACTGTCATGGTTTAAGTTTATTTCCTGTTTTATTTTGAAATGTGTTATCCCTGTGTCTTCTTTGGTTGTACTTCCTGTTGTCTGATTACCTGCCCTGCCCTTATCTGTCTCACCTGTGTCTCGTTAGTCTTGTATTTAGCCCTGTGTGTTCCTTCACTCCCTGTTCCGTCATTGTCATTCCTAGTCTGTTTTAGTTCTGTCCGTTCCCTGTATTTTTGGTAGGTCTTGATTTGTATTACTTTCATTAAATCCATCTTTTTGCAGTTTTTGCCTTTTGGGCCTCATTTGTTTTTCTCCCACGTGACGTGACCGAATGACGGAACCACACAAGGCCCAAGCAGACTGCTTTATTTTTGTTTTTTATTTTCTGTCATCTCTGGCCTTTGTCCCCGACTGGTCTCAAGAGTTGCTGCAGGAGCTGGACGCATCCCTGTCTGTCTGTGTCCTGGACCACTGCAGGACACTTTGCTCCGTCCTGGGTGGTTGCAGGCTTTCGTCCCTGACTTGGCTCCGCTGGATATTGTTCTCCATCCAGGGGGCCTTCCGTACCCGTTTTGCTCAAGTTCCTGCTCCAGCTCTGAGGCTTCACGTCCCGGCCCCGGCTTCACGTGCCGGTTACACGCCCCGGTCCTTCCTACCAATGGTGTAGGTTTGGTTCCAATCTTGGTGGGGACATTCACTACGACCTGAGTCTACACCCATTGACACGGGGTCCAGAGTTTCTCCCCCAGAATTTGTTGTGTAATCACACACTATATTTGCAATAGTGTGTTGCCTTCTATACTAAACTCAGCTGTAGACTGAATGAGAAGCAGTTATGTATGTTAACAGAAGATTAATCATCACAATTCATAATTTGCTATTACTTGTGCTTTCTCTTACTTACTTTCCAACTGTTAAAAAAGCTCCTGATATCTTTTATCTTATTTGTGGAGGTGGCATTTTTTCTAAATTATATAAGAAGGTATAAGTTTGTGTAAGCTCTCAGTCGTACAGGGATTAGTCAAAGCAAAGGAAGGTTTCTCACCCATCATCTGTACTTCTTAGCAAGTTTTCCCGACGTTTCGTCCTCAACCTAGCGGACTTCTTCAGGGAATGAATTCTCGGACCGCGCGTTGGAGATTTATAACCTATGGGTGTGGTTAGCCACACCCTAATCCTGATACTAACTCATAAACAATCTACGGTCTGGTTGATGTAGAAGGGAGCAGATCTAACGACCCTGCTGAGGCTAACGACCCTAACTCCTTAGCATGTCACAGACCTATTGTCTGCTGGTATGCTCAAGTGGAGTGCAGGTCTCACCCCTCCTAACCCCTCCCTCCCATAAGAAGGTATAGACAATCAAAAACAGACATTCATATACATGAACTGCAAAATCATTTATATAACTTGGCCAATGTCAAAAGTTACATAGTATTTCTCAATACAATGAGTTAACAAGAGTTTGGCAATAAGTAACAGTGTGGATTTTTCTATATTTTCTTTTTTTTATTCCACTCTCTACCCAAAAAGGCAAGTAATGACTCACAGGGCTCTCAAGTATGCAAAATAAAAACTTAAATGACCTGTTGTGGTGTGTTTTGCGCACAACCAGCATGCATCGTTAACGCAATAATTTCGGGAGCGCTGGTTGCGCTTTGGGAAGAGTCAGGGGAGAGACATGTCAGAGACACAGGGGAGAAACGGGGGAGATACGAGGGAGACCCGCACTTGCAACATGGTTCTGTCTGCATATGGTCCGAGCTCGGTACCATGTTAGAGCTGTGCTTTCACTGAGCGCCGCGGCTGTCATTACAAAGCGGCAGCAGCTGCACCAGGACGTGCACATTCGAGTGCATCTCTTGAATGTGCTTAGAGCAAATAACAGCAAGTGCCCGCTGTCACACATTTCACAGAAATTACATTATCAGCATATAAAGGTTGTAAATCGTGGATCCGTGGAATATTTTCATCCCTAGTTTATCCTGATTCACACCACACACCCACTTATACATTTTGGATAGTAAGAGCACAATAAGTATTTTTTCAGCCTTTCAACCAACCTGTTTCTTTATTGGAGCCAGTTCTGTTCTGTCTCTGTGCCGTGTGAGCTCCTCAGAACATTAAACAGTCCGCTGACAGATTAGAAATAACGTAAGTACTTTGAATGGTAATAGATCTACAGTACTTTTCCTCTGATTACTCACGTGCTACAACTCTTTTGAAATGTGTTATCCCTGTGTCTTCTTTGGTTGTACTTCCTGTTGTCTGATTACCTGCCCTGCCCTTATCTGTCTCACCTGTGTCTCGTTAGTCTTGTATTTAGCCCTGTGTGTTCCTTCACTCCCTGTTCCGTCATTGTCATTCCTAGTCTGTTTTAATTCTGTCCGTGCCCTGTGTTTTTGGTAGGTCTTGATTTGTATTACTTTCATTAAATCCATCTTTTTGCTAGTGATGGGTTGATGAAGCTTCATGAAGTGTTGAACCTTTTCATCCATTGGTTCGAGAAAAGGTTCATTTCTTGATGCTTCATATGCTCACAAACCTCCTGTTGGTCAAAATCTGTATTGACAATTGAACTGTTAGTGAGGCTCTTGGTGCATTGGAATTAATACTGGTAACAGAAATAATAATGTAATTTGATTGTGTATGACCCATTAATTAATCTGTTTCATTATGATCAATATCAGTAGTGAAAATTAATATATTTGAAATGACAATAAAATTATAATGTACTGGTAACTGGTACAGTTGTCTGCTCTAATACACACACACACATATATATGTAGATATATATTTATATACATGTTTAATGATGAATGATTATAGCTTGTCAAGTCAAAATCAATGTTATAAATCCAATGGGACAAAAAACATGTTGAAAGTGTAAGTGCTTTTAAAAGGACGTGACACAAATGGGGATATCAATTGGAATTGTGACCCCAACAGTTGTTTAAAACCAAAACATTTCTGACAAAATTCTTTCACGTGTATTTACGTCAACGTGCTACCTGTGAGATTCGAACCCCGGTCCCCCAGGTCCAAGCCC